GCTTGATGTTCTGCCATCGGTGATCCTGTCGACGGACTGATCCTAGGTTGGCCAAACTCAGGAAGAGTTCCCGTCGGAGGGATGTCCAATAGAACTGTTAGCTCAATGCTCTCGGTAGGTGAACTGGAACGCCTTTGTCTTCCAGTAGTCGGTGATGGCGATCTTTCTGCAGAGTCCTCACTGGGAGTCTTCTTTTTAGTTCGCCGTTTTGTTTCCACGGCTTTTTCTGAATCTCGACGGAGTTTCCGTGTGGCTCTCGCACTCAGGTTTCCCACACTATCGCTCGTCGACATTCACCGAGCATTGCTGCTCAAGGTTTCTGGTGTTGACGCACTGTCCCCGGCAGCGGCGCCAAAAAGAAGTTGTCGGCTCCTTATGTAATAACCCACCAAAGGCTAAAACTGCAGTATGGTGGTAAAAAGATCGAACCCACAGGGACAGAGGCAACACACAGAGTAAAAGTGTCACATTTAACAGACTTTTGGTAGAGTTTGAATTCTAGGCGACTGTCACTCCCAGAAATACTGCAGTGCTCGACTCGGAGGCTCGACTCGGAGGAGGAACTCAACTCGGAGGATGCTCGGAGGATGCACGGTACAGCTTGGTCACTCAACACACACACACACACACACCTGAAACTGGCAAAAAGCACAACTCGGAGGTCGGTCAGGACCTCCGCTTCGGATTTCAGGAGGAAAGTGTCTCGCAAGTTCACTCAGAGGTTCTGCAGGAAGTGCCTCCCACTCCGGCTTTTACTGCCCTTCCGCCAGGAACTAGCGGGGGTACCCGGACTGGACTTCTCACTTCGGAACGAAGCCTCTACGTACGCCGTGGACGTCACCCTCGACTATCACACAAAACGCAGGGAGTGCAGACCCGACTGAGAACTTACTGAAAACACGATCCAGTAACACACACACAACCTGAATTACAAACCAAGGTTTACACGAAGTAATTAAACTTCACATTGGCATTCAGGGGAAACTTCCCGTAGGAGTACAATCAGGATATGTCACTCGAAGGAGTAAGGGGGAACTGTTCAAGTCTCTAACTCGCAGCCGGCTCTGAGCATCAGAAATCACCCGCAGGTGCAGATCCGCACTACTCAAGTCTCTAACCGGGTGCGAGCTCTGAACATTCAGCCGAAGGCCTTCAACTACAACATACGGTAACTTCGCTATGTTGCAGCTTCTCTACGTGGTGCCAGGACCAAAATGCACAAACACGCCAAGAAAGTGAGTTCCTGATCTGCACTTCCGAAACTGGAAGAGTCCCAAGGCAAAACGCCTTGATCTACTTTATACCCTCAAAAGATCCTAACTAGCACTACGCTATCCTATCTACCACTCGCAGCATCTGCGCGAAACCAAACTACTCTACTGCACTCAGCAGATCCGGTGCTGCGCCTCCTGCGCGCCGGACTGCTCCGCGTACTATCTCTACCCTGCCAGTCTTCCGACCGGCTGCGTAACCCCAGGCGTCGGAGCGCTGCAGTGACTTCCGACTGCAAGTGCGCCATAGTGTCGCGCGCACCCGACAGAAAAGTTTCTAATTTCCTTGCCACTCGCCGCCGACTCCGACTGTCACCTTCCGTCAATGCCGCCGCCCGAAGCTCGAACTCCCGGAGTGTAACCCTCTCTTGAGCTGCCACCTCCCAATGGGTGTATCCGTTTAGACAACGAGTCACCCGTGCCGCCAACTCTTCTCGTGCCCTGCAGCTGCTCTCCACCTCTGCCAGCTGCATTTCTAAATCCGCACGTTGTGCCCTCAAATCCGAGCACTCGGTTTGCAAGCTGCACAACAACTCCTCATCCTCCTTGCGGGCTCGTTGACTTTCCTCTAAGGCGCGCGTCTGGCGCGCAAGCTCGGCTGCTAGGACTTCGTTCTGTCTCCGCTCCTCCTGCAGTTCCGACTCGATCCTTGCCCGTATTAGTTCGGCCTCCGCCTGACTCTTCGTCGCCGCATCCTCCTTCTGCTGCTGCAAGGCTTGGTACAGCTTCTGGGTGACCGCCAGGTGTTGTCGGAGGGCGGTGTTCCTATCCACATATACTCCGCATCTAGAGGCCCACCTTGCCACCTTGCTCCTCGTCCTTCGCCTGATTGTCTCCACATAAGACTGCGGTTTTAAGGCACTTCCGTATTTGGATGTCTTGCGATCCAGATATCGCAGGAGTGGAACTATCTGTTCGCACAGCACCCCTGTTGGCGTTTTCTGCACTGACTCCTCTTCTTGCTCTTCCGAGCTCGTATCATCCTCAGTCGCGAGGATTTCAGTCGCCACCGAATCCCTTGGCGACTCCCTGGAACTGTGGCGCGCAGCAGCTTCTGCTGCGACTGCTGCTCCACTGCCTGCTAAAATATCCAGGGCAGTGGGAGATCCCACTGCTTGAGCCCCTGTTCCGGCTCGATCTTCGGTTTGTGAAGGGGTCGACGCCGCAGTGACTTTTGTCGCTCTTGCACCGCCCGCTTCTGCTGCCTGTCCTTCCGGCACAATCTGCGCGGAAGGTGTCCTTGCTGAAGGTGCGTCCGCCGAAGGCGTCCGCACACTGGTCGTTGGCTCCATCCGTCTCGCAGTCGGCGAATCCGGCTGACTCTCTGTTGTCCGACTCGCAGTCGGCCGGCCAGCAGTTGTCCGACTGGGAGTCGGATACACCCTGCGCGTCTTGACTCCACTTGGCCTACTTGTTGGTGGCGTTCTTCCAGAAGTGCCTTCCGCCGAAGACGACCCTCTGAGGATTGTTGGCTCGTCAGCCAAACTCTCTTCCGCCTCCGGCCTGCTGTCCGGTTCAACGCGCCGTTCAGTTGGCCTTCCTTCCGTCTGTCGACCTTCAGTCATCCGACTCGCAGTCGGCCGGCTGTCAGTCCGTCCATCTCCTCCCGAAGGCCGTGGTGCCTTCTGTGCAGAGGTTTCTGCCGTCTTCCCTAGAACCTGAGTGATTATCTCTTCCTGTGTGAGATTCCGCCGGGTCGGAGTTCGCCTGGTCTCCTCAGTAACAGTTGGCATTCTGCGTGCCCTCTGTTTTGGTCGACTATGAGGCTCGGGGGTGGGCCGACCACGAGTCGGCGCAGCTGGTACTTCCGGCTGCCTGTCCTCAGGTCTCTCATCCCACTTCCGCTTGCGCGGAATGCGCTCACTTCGACGTTCTTCTGCTGCTCTGGCTGGAGCCGGAGCCGGAGGCGTACTGGCAAGTTCCTCGTCCGGATCCGTGTCTACTTCGGCCTCCCTCGAATATCTACCTGGATAAGACCGGCTCAGCTGCGGAAACCGAGTTTTCTCAGCATTCGTCAAACATCCCATCGCCCGGTAAAACACGATTAAGTAAGGCGATAGATGATTGAGCGTTCCTCCCCTCTCTTCTTGCGCATGTTGGCGCGTCACCTTCCACAGAAGTCGTGCCCAATGCACCGGAGCTCCTGACAACACTAGCTCCACGAACTCTACCTGCCAACCATGCATGTAAGCGGTCTTGGTCGGCTGCAATATCTGCAGCAATGCTGTCGCGACATTTCTCCGCAATCGATCCTTGTAATCCCGAGTCCGGAAACCGTTCTTGGGATGTCTAGCCACCTTGAAGAGCTCATTGTAAGAGACTTCTTCCTCTTGGGACACTTTCACGCTGTCGGCCTCGAAGAGGAGATCCCCTTCCTCGCCGGCACACCTGCCCAACACCTGCGCCCAATTGCCAATTTCCCATCTCTCTGGGTGTGGGCGAAATCCGCGAGAAGGCTTGTGTCTCTCTTGCAGATACTCGCGCACCATCTCCGGACACGTCCAATTCCACCCCCATAGGAGAAAATCGAGCTTCAACCTCAACAGCACATCTTGAAATGCGCGTAGACCGATCTGCGGCACCCTGAGTGGAGACACTCGCAGCTGGGGAACCTTCGACATTGCGTTGCCTGCACACACACAAACGTTCTCCCTTTCGCTCGCTCTCTCACAATCGCCACTGCGCGTCGGCCACTCAAGCACTGACTGCTCACTCTCTCTACGCTCGTTCGAGATCGCTACTCCAATTCTTTCAAGGTCCGCCAAGATCCTTGCGCAACTCGTCTCCGCACTCTCTACTCTCACTGCAGGTCGCTCCGCCCTTGCGCGTAATCTTGGAACTGGAAATCGCAAAGTCAAGAATGAGAGAATGAGACTGGAGCGCAGTCTTTTCTTCTCCGATTTCAAGAACGTCCAACGTTCTTACTGGTTGCAACGTACGCAGCCGGCTATACGGCTTAACGGTTCGCCCTTTGCATGCGCGAATTCACGTCTCCGCATTGCGCGCATTCGCATGCTTAAACGTTGAATTCTCCCGCCGCCGCCACCTTCCGGACTCGAGTCCGCTGCAGGGTATACGTCGGCCCTGTTGTCTTTTCCTAACCCGCCCTTCTCCGGAGGCGTGTCGCCGCTGGTGCGTTCGTTATCCGTCAGCGCAACTCATGCCAGCGCATCCGGCCGTCAGCGCCACGTCGGAGGCGTACATCCGACCGGCGCTTTCCTTCCATGAACAGCCGCCAAGGGCGCTTCCGACTCTGAGTTGGTTTCCTTCTGTGAGCGCGTGATTCCGCCGAAGGCGCATCGCCGAGGGCGTACGGGAATCCTTTCCGGCTGTGAACCCTAGCGCGAACGGCGCATGTCCGGCTACGAGTTTTCCGACGCTCATAACTTCTCCATTCCTGATCCATCTCCGGCGCTCTTGGACTCGTTAGAACGAGCGTCCCGAGCTCTGTCTAATGCAACTTCCACCAACTGGATCTACCGTGTATCCCGATTGTTATGAAGGTTTTCCCTTTCCGCGCTAGCGGCGCTTCGCCGAAGGCGCACTCATGGTCGGATGCCTTTAGAGGTCCGGGCCCTTCCCCTGACGTCTTTAGCACAACCTCCTCCTGAGGTGTCTGCGCCGGAAGCGTAGCTTCCTTATACGCTAGAGGCGCGTGAGTAGAGACACCTCAAAAAGGAGCTTTTGCCGAAGGCGCCGAAGACGTTGGCGTTGGTACATCCGACTACGTGATTCTTTGTGCCCTCGTGACGATCTCATCAATCCACTCTATTTAGCGTACCCTTCTCTAGCTACAAACACTGCTTTGGTACTAGTTTTCTAAAATTGTTTAAATTCTGCAAAAAAAACAAAAAGCGTGTTACCACAAGCACCTTTTCGTCCACACCTCCCCATCTATGTCGATGCTTTCCCAGAAACTCTTCTACAAAATATCCAGCAATCCAGCAAAGACACTCTCACTCACAAATCCGTCCTTGCTTGTGTATGCCTCACTTGACATCATGTTATCAGCAGACTCGGAGTCATCGGCTTGAAAGTGTTGACCCAAAGCTATCAGTTCACCCAAGAACGTATTGGTTAGCCAGTTGGGATCTACAATAACGAAATCAACATTGGGGATGTAAATGATGGATCCAACATCATTCAAGTAGGATATAATAGAGTCCATTATCCTTGAATGATCAACAGGGTGAAGAGATGATGATGGAATATATTGTGTCAAGCTAGGAGCACAGAAAGCATGAAACTCTTTGGATGGCCATAGAGGGTGAATTCTGTTCTTCTTGGTGTTTTTAACCAAGAGGGAAGTGAGTTGAAAACACAAATGGGGAACCTGTGGAGATTTGTCACTCAATAACTTTTCAAAAACTTCAAAAACATGACTCTTAAGAAGAATAACTTGCTTGTTATCACGAGCATCCACGTGAAAAAACTCTTGGCGAAGATCCACAAAATTTGCGAACCTTTTGGTAAGCTCCTCAACTATGGAGCGAGCCCAAGTCAAAGAGGGGAATCTTGTTTTATCTTTGTGTGAAATCACAACAATAACTTGGGGAAGATTATGTCCTGTGACCTTGGTGCTGGATGTAATAAAACTCAACCACTCCTCCAATTCTGTTCTAAAACAATGATCTGGTTTGTTCGAAGAAGTTTTGTTACAGAAAGGGCTATACACAAAAAGAAAAACACAAAAATTGTTGGTTTGGGGGAAGAGCACATTTTGAAGAGTGCGAAAAATCCATTGTCCCGCAAGATCCCAAACCGAGATTTGCATTTCTTCATCATTTTGTAGGAACTCCACTTCAATTCCTTTCATTCTGAATCTGTTCCATGTGCTTGCAAGCCAGCTTTTGCCTTGGATTACACTCATTAGGGTTCGACGCAATTGAGTCTTGCCTAGAGAGGAAAAAAATAATGACAACAAATACAACTTGTTACTTGAGATGATTTTTATAATTATATAATTCACTTCAAGAATTTCAAAATTTCAATAGAAATTTATCTCTTGATTGAATTAATCTGTATTTCTATTTTATTTTATTAAGTTTTGCACACAATTACGAATACATCTAGATTTAAAAACAAATTTCAATTTTAATTTTTTAAAAGTAACACGTTAGACTGCTAGCTTGCATACCTGGAGAAAGATATTGAGAATTCTGAGAGCACCTTACCTGCTCTAGGAGAGCCGCATAAGAAGAGTCGACCAGCTTTTGCAGCTCCAAATGTTAATTTGGCTTCTCGGAACACTGACATGTAGATGGCCCGCTTCCGGTTCTGCTTTAGCGCCTCTTGAATCTGCGACGCCTTTCCGTCCGTTTCCCACGAGGTTCCTCTGACATCGATTTTCTCGAGAGTTAAGTTGACTTGTAGGAGCCCCATCAAATCCCTGAACACCTCTTCGTCGAGTTTGGACTCAGGCAAATGCTTGTATTTGAACACCTCTGGGTTGTCACTCAAATCCAAGTGAGTGAGACTTGTGTTGCCTCGCAAGCACTGAAGCAGGTCCTTCCATACTCCCTTGAAAACATCTTTGTTATAAACAAATAATGATAGTCTCTTCAGGACTGAAGTTTCTCCAGATTTTCCATTCATGGACAGGATACTTCCCATTCTATCTTGGTTGGTACCTGAAGTGCAAGGATCATCCGCCACTATAAACAAAGATTCTAACGATTTGATTTCACCGCGTAGAACCCTACCTAATAGGTTTAATGATAACATCCATTCATCACGGTCATCCGAAATTTTTAGGGCAAGCCTCACTTTGGGGTCCTTGACAGCGGAGCTAGCAGCCCACACAAGGGCTTCTATTGACTTCCAGTCAACTTCCTCACTAGCGACAGTAAAAATCTCTAGAGCATTGTCACTTATGACTTCGCCGAGCTGGTGCCATTTCTCAGGACTCATCTGGAAGTTCCCCAAGGACACTTTCTTCAATGATGGGTTGGAAGTAAGGAGGTCCCTTATACAGTCTCCCAGTCTATCCATACCGAGTGTATCCAATCCGAACATATTGTTCAGCTCAAGACGTTTAATGGATCGGTTGCCATGATCTCCGGCCAAAGCTTTCACGAAGATGGTCGCTAAATTGCCATCATCTAAGTCAATTTTCTTCAGAGACGAGCTGTGGATCAAAGCCTGGGACACGATTCCAACGGTCTCTTCATCCATGTCGTACCTTGAGCCGCTTAAGCTCAACGTTTCTAATCGAGGAGCACAGTTGATTATGTCAGCCACAAGCTTCACTGCAGTCCGGTCCCCCCATGCGCTATGTAGTGCTAAAAGCTGAAGCTTAGAATCAGAATTTCCTCGCAGTCCTGAGGCAAGATTCAAAAAACATCTGGCAGTCAATGGGCAACTGAATATTTTCAAATGTGTTACGCTAGAGGAACTCAGAATTCTCCCCAGCTGTAAACACAAGCTCTCCCATTCCGTATCCGAACTCTCCACTTCCGTATCCGAACTCTCCCCACTATTCCAACAAACTTGAATACAGCGCAGAACGGTGCTAGATATAAAACCTCTGAGAACTACCTCCCACTCGCTAGCCGTCAACCTCGATATATCATATTCACAAATTGCTTCTACGAACAAATCCTCAAGTGTGTTGCAGTTGCCGATTGCCTCCAGCACTCGAAGGCGCAGTTTGCTTCGCCACCCTCTGATCGTCGAGAGCGATGCACGATTCGGAAATAACTTTCCGAATCGCGCATCGCATAAACGTGGAAGCGACCTTAGAGGCTCGCCTTTTCCTTCCAGACGCTGTATAAGGTCCTCGACCCTGCGGAGAAGCCCCGGTTCCTCGCCTGAGAATTCCATTTCCTGTGTCGCAAGTTCAGCGTCGACCTCGCGGGGAAGCTCCGGTTCCTCGCCTGAGGAGTCCATTTCTCGTGTCTCAAGTTCAGCGACGTGACTAACGATGGAATCACCTGCACCTTCCATTCTCTCCTCCACTCTCACAGAGAAGTAAACGTTTGCTGCTTGGATTGAGCGAGCCAAATGTAACCGAGCGTGAAAAAAAACCCCGATCCCAGTTCACAAGAAGAATTTGTGAATTTCACGTCGCAATGTCACAACTCGTGTGCATTTGTTTGCTAGGCATGAGACTTCTTGCGCGGTGCAACAGCAGCAACCCACAGAGTACTCCAATCTCTGCACATAAGTGGATCATGAGCAATCACCAATAACGCAAGGAGATTGTGCAAATTGAAAGTAGAATGCTGCTCAAACTCAGGATACAACAAGCAATGTGAATCAAAATGAAGCAAAACACCAGGATTCTGGTTCCAAGCAAATTCTTACATGGCAAAGGTTACTTCACATCTCTTGAAAATACAAAACTATTGTAAACTGCAACGGAAAGCGACGCTTTATGTTCACTGTTGACCGAACTGAATGGACAAGCTCTTTGCAGGTGAATCTGAAATAAATCGTGGCAAAGAGGGTGCGATGTGAATGCACAATGTCCTGGATATCATGATTGTGTATTTATATTAGATGGGAAGTATCCAAGTTGTGTAAGAACTCGATGTACAGTTGTAATGGGATACTGCGAATCTAGCTGCATCAAGACCCACAGGATGACAGCCCCTAAAATCGATGGGTACTGCGTGGACAAAACATACAGCATCTTCAATTAGATCTTGTCATTGAGACGCGTGAGCGATCGAGGTAACGACAACATGCAAAAACTACAAGCGTGTTCCTCTGTACTTGGAAAATGGTCTTAGAAGGTCAGAATAGATCTTGACTTTGCTGTGCAAGTGTAATAACCCACCAAAGGCTAAAACTGCAGTATGGTGGTAAAAAGATCGAACCCACAGGGACAGAGGCAACACACAGAGTAAAAAGTGTCACGTTTAACAAACTTTTGTAGAGTTTGAATTCTCAGGCGACTGTCACTCCCAGAAATACTGCAGTGCTCGACTCGGAGGCTCGACTCGGAGGAGGATGCTCGACTCGGAGGATGCTCGGAGGATGCACAGTACAGCGTAGTCACTCAACACACACACACACACACCTGAAACTGGCAAAAGCACAACTCGGAGGTCGGTCAGGACCTCCGCTTCGGATTTCAGGGGGAAAGTGTCTCAAAAGTTCACTTAGAGGTTCTGCAGGTAGTGACTCCCACTCCGGCTTTTACTGCCCTTCCGCCAGGAACTAGCGTAGGGAACCCGGACTGGACTTCCCACTTCGGAACGAAGCCCCTTCATACGCCGTGGACGTCACCCTCGACTCACACCAAACGCAGGGGGTACAAGCCCGACTGAGAACTTAACTGAGACACGATCCAGTAACACACACACACAACCTGAATTGCAAACCAAGGCTTACACGAAGTAATAAAACTTCACTTTGGCATTCAGGGGAAACTTCCCGTAGGAGTACAATCAGGATATGTCACTCGAAGGAGTAAGGGGGAACTGTTCAAGTCTCTAACTCGCAACCGGCTCTGAGCATCAGAAATCACCCGCAGGTGCAGATCCGCACTACTCAAGTCTCTAACCGGGTGCTAGCTCTGAACATTCAACCGTAGGCCTTCAACTACAACATACGGTAACTTCGCTATGCTGCAGCTTCTCTACGTGGTGCCAGGACCAAAATGCACAAACACGCCAAGAAAGTGAGTTCCTGATCTGCACTTCCGAAACTGGAAGAGTCCCAAGGCAAAACGCCTTGATCTACTTTATACCCTCAAAGGTCCTAACTAACACTACGCTATCCTATCTACTACTCGCAACACTTGCACGAAACCAAACTACACTACTGCACTCTGCAGATCCAGTGCTGCGCCTCCTGCGCGCCGGACTGCCTCGCTCTCTATCTCTACCTTGCCAATCTTCCGACCGGCTGCGCAACCCCAGACGCCGGAGGGCTGCAGTCACTTCCGACTCCAAGTGCGCCATAGTGTCGCGTGCACCCGACAAGAAGGATTCTAATTTCCTCGCTACTCGCCGCCGACTCCGACTGTCACCCTCCGTCAATGCCGCCGCCCGAAGCTCGAACTCCCTGAGTGTGATCTTCTCTTGAGCTGCCACCTCCCAATGGGCGTATCCTTTTAGACAGTGAGTCACCCGCGTCGCCAACTCTTCTCGCGCCCGGCAGCTGCCTTCCACCTCTGCTAGCTGCATTTCCGCATCCGCGCGCTGCGCCCTCAAATCCGCGCACTCGGATTGCAAGTTGCGCAACAACTCCTCATCCTCCTTGCGTGTACTTTGACTTTCTTCTAAGGCGCGCTTCTGGCGCGCAAGCTCTTCTGCTAAGATGCGGTTTTGTCTCCGCTCTTCCTGCAATTCCGACTCGATCTTTGCCCGCATTAGCTCGGCATCCGCCTGGTTTTTCGTCGCCGCATCCTCCCTCTGCTGTTGCAAGGTTTGGTATAGCTTCTGTGTGACCGCCAGGTGCTGTCGGAGGGTAGCGTTCCTATCCTGCAATGTTTGGCACCTAGAGGCCCAAGTGGCCACCTTGCTCCTCGTCCTGCGCTTGACAGTCTCCACGTAAGACTGCGGTTTTCCGGTACCCGAGTACTTGGATGTCTTGCGATCCAGATATCGCAGGAGTGGAACTATCTGCTCGCACAACACCCCTGTTGGCGTTTTCTGCACAGAGTCCGCTTCCTGCTCTTCCGAGCTCGTCTCATCCTTCGTTTTGAGGATTTCAGTCGCCACCGAATCCCTTGGCGACTCCCTGGAACTGTGGCGCGCAGCAGCTTCCGCCGCGACTGCCGCTCCACTCCCTGCTAAAATATCCAAGGCAATGGGGGATCCCACTGCTTGAGCTCCTGTTCCGGCTCGATCTTCGGTCTCCGAAGGGGTCGACGCCGCAGTGACTTTTGTCACCTTTGCACCGCCCGCTTCTGCTGCCTGCTCTTCCGGCGCGATCAGCGCGGAAGGTGTCTTCGCTGGAGGTGCGTCCGCCGAAGGCGTCCACACACTGGTCGCCGGCCCTGTCCGTCTCGCAGTCGGCGAATCTGGCCGACTCTCTGTTGACCGACTCGCAGTCGGCCGACTAGCAGGTGTCCGACTGGTAGTCGGATACACCCTGCGCGTCTTCACTCCACTTGGCCTGCTTGCTGGCCGCGTTTTCCCAGAAGTGCCTTCCGCCGAAGACGACCCTCTGAGGATTGTTGGCTCGTCAGCCAAACTCTCTTCTGCTTCCGGCCTGCTGTCCGGTTCAACGCGCCGCTCCATCGGCCTTCCTTCCGTTTGTCGACCTTTAGTCGCCCGACTCGTAGTCGGCCGACTGTCAGTCAGTCTGTCTTCTTCCGAAGGCATTGGTGCCTTCTGCGCAGAGGTATTTGCCGACTTCCCCAGGATCTGCACGATTATCTCCTCCTGCGTGGGTAGGATACTCCGCCGAACCGGAGTACGCCCGGTCTCCTCAGTACTAGTTGGCATTTTGCGTGCCCTCTATTTCGGTCGGCTGTGAGGCTCGTTGGTTGGCCGACTACGAGTCGGCGCAGCTGGCGCTTCCGGCTGCCTGTCCTCAGGTTTCTCATCCCACTTCCGCTTTCGCGGAACGCGCTCACTTCGACGTTCTTCTGCTGCTCTTGCTGGGTTTAATAACCCACTAAAGGCTAAAACTGCAATATAGTGGTAGAAAGGTCGAACCCACAGGGACAGAGGAACACACAGGGTACAAAGTGTCACGTTTAACAGACTATTGATGAGTTTGAATTCTCAGGCGACTGTCACTCCCAGAAATACTGCAAGTGTCCACTCGGAGCGCACTCGGAGGTCGCACAGTGCAGCGTAACACACACACACACACACACCTGAAACTATAGAAATACAACCCAGAGATCCGTTAGGACCTCTACTTCAAGTTTTCAGGGGGAAAGTCTCTCGCGAGCACACTCGGCAAAGCTGCGGGTAGTGACTTCCAACTCCGGCTTTTACAACACTTCCACTAGCTTGCTGCTAGTGTAGGAAACCCGGTTTGGACTGCCTACTTCGGATCGAAGTCACTCATACGCGGTGAACAACACTCTCAACTCACAAAACGCGCAGAGAACACAGGTCCGCACTGAAGGACTCACTGAGAAACATTCCAGTAACACAACAACAGTCTATTGAAGAGTTTGAATTCTCAGGCACTTGTCATTCCCAGAAATACTACAGGGGTTACCCTCAAGGCACCTGCTGCAGCGTAACCTGAATTTACAACCAAGGCTTACACGAAGTAGCAAAACTTCACTTTGGCATTCAGGGGAAAAATCCCAAGGGAGTACAATCAGAAAGAAACACTCGAAGGTGTAGGGGCGAAACTGTTCAAGTATCTAACTAGTCACTGGCTCTGAGCATCGGCAGTCACCCGCAGGTACAGATCCGAACTACTCAAGTCTCTAACCAATGTACTAGCTCTGAACATTCGGCCGAAGGCCTTCAGCTACAAAATGCGGAACGCTAAGTTGTAACTCCTCGTGCGTGGTGACAGAACTCAAGGACACAAACACGCAAAGGAAATGGGTTTCTGATCTGCACTTCTGATGGGAAAGAACCCCAGGCAAAACGCATGGAACTATTTTATACCTTCTAAGTCCTAACTAGCACTACACTGCACTACCATGGTGCGAGCCGCAACAGATCCTACACCTGAGGAGTCGGCGGCTGCCTTCCCCTCTAACTTACAACCTAAATCTAACCCTAACCCTAAATCTGAATCCTAAGCCTACTGTACAGAGCCGCCAGCGCCTTACCATCCAAGATCTGAGGCTGAAAATTTGCAGGCATGCGTGGCCGGCCGAGATCAACGGCCCCACAAAATTTCAGATCCATCCGACCGTCCATCGCAAAGATATGGGCCCCTCAAGATCTCTGAACCTAGGCCAAAATTCCTTCTCCAAAATCCGAGGACTGTGGGTCCCACGCGTCCTACACGCAAGCCGCCTACTCGCAGGCCGCCTTGGGCCGAAGGCCCCTCTAACTGTTAACGCCGAAGGCCTCACGCCTAACCATGACAGCCGCTTTCGACGCTCATAACTCATTGACGCCTTATCCGTTTCAGGAGATCTTGGTCTCGTTGGAACCAGCTCGTCGAGTTCTTTCCAACGAGACCCGAATAAAGTCAAACCGCTAAGAATTGAGAAAGTTATGTCGGTTTTACTCTTCCGCCGAAGGCGTTCGCCTATCCACAGTCCGTCCGCGGCGATGACCTGGCTGTCTGCGGCGCTGAGCTGGCCGTCCGCGGCGCTGACCTGGCCGTCCGCGGCGCTGCGCTGGCGCAGAAGGCGCCGTACACTTTCTACCTCACAAGGCGCATTTCTAGGGCCCAAGGCGGATTTCCCGCCGACGCCGAAGCGCCTGTGCACAGGCGAAGTTCCTTCGTCCGCGCATAGGACAAAACTTTCTTCGCCTGTGCACAGGCGGAAAGCTGAGTATCTTGCGACCTTCATAACTCCCGGAATTCTCCTCCGTTCGTGGCGTTCTTGGGCTCGTTAGAATCAGCGCGTCGAGTT